AACTTCATCTTTTTGCTTGTAGGGTATGTACTTTCATCACTCTCATTTGACAGATAAAGAAACTGAGGCACAGATGAGTAATTGCCCCAAAGTCATATAGTTAGTAAATGATGGAGCCAGAATTTAAACCCAGGCAGACTGAACTCTTAAAGGAACTGGAGGTTAATGTTTGCTGTCTTCAATTCTAGTTTCTGCACCTTTTCTTTTGTGACAGATGGCTGATCAAATCTTTGATGCAAAATAGTTTGGTCAGGAATCAAGCCTGTTACAACATTGCAACTATGAGAATAATTCAGACCATTTCATGATTCTCTTCCTAATGGCCTGATATCCAGGGACATATGGGCACCAAAGGCATATAGGAGAGATAGTGTTATTTGTACAGAATCTTAGACATTAAATTGCAGAGAAAAGGTCTGGCTGAGAGTGTTGCACGGCTGATTAAAGTCAAGTTTGGGTTGGAGAAGGCTTTCCAGGCACAGCTGCAAGTGGCCACACATCTCTCCCCTCCCACTCCACCCTCACCTCTACTCCCATTGCACTCACCTGGCAGCCCCAAGGCTGCCTCCAGTCACACCTGCACAGGTGCAGCACAATGAACAGTCATCCTCACTTCTAAGGCTTGGCCTTTGGCAGAGCACACTGACTCCGGTAAGGTAAGCCTGACTGAGGGACAGGAGACACAAACTGCCCTCCTCCTGAGAGAAGGACTTCTGACTGGAGGGGCAGCTTGAGGCACAAGTGGTCGGCAGGAAAGTGCAGACATTTCTGGGATTTCCATTCAACTAAGCTAACATCTTGAGTAATTATTAACTAGTTAGTGCCTAGAACAGTGCCTGGCATATGGCAGATGCTCAACCAATAGTTGTTGGATGAACATATTAGCTGTTAGAGTGTGGCAGGGGGAGGCCATAACCTCTACTCAGCAGGGGAGTACAATCTGGTCAAGGAGGCAGATTTGTGCCCCCATGATACTAGATACAAGGTAGCCTGTAAAAGGAGTTAGACTATAATTTATTAATATGCTGTCAAAGTATAAAGAAGGTAGAGATTGTGATTGCTTCTTACTAGGAAAATCTAAAGTGGTGTCTTAGAGAAGGTAGAATTTGAGCTGAGTCTTGTGGTAAAAAATAAGTGGAAAGGGACCTTCTAGGCATAGGTGAGTAAAGGCTTAGAGGGGAGAGCAAGCAGAGGAAAGTCAGGGTAATTAGATAGGTGTAGCTCTTAGCTGGAATTGTATCAGGAGAAGTGGGTAGAATCCAACTGTGGAGGGCTTTGCCTGCCAGTCCTGGGATTTCTGGAGTTCTCTCTTCACCCTTCTGTCAACTCCTGCCCACAAAGGCTGGCCACCCTCTGGGGTAAGATGGCAGCTGGCTGTCTGGGCCTTTCTTGGCTTCCTGGGGAATCTGGCACCCTGCCACCCCATATCACTGGGTGGGAGCACAGCCTGCACCAGGTCCTTCCATCTTCCACAGCACCAGGATAGGGTGGACATGACAGCCAGCTACCGGATGGGGACAGGTGCAGGGGGTCCTCTTTACCCCTCTGCATACAGAGGCCTGGTGGGCACCAAGAAGGTGGCCAGCAGGAGCAAGTCCCTCATTAAAGGAAGCACTCTCAGTAGAGTATGGATAAGAGGCCTCTCCGTGCACATTAATTATTCATTTTAGAAGAAACCAGAAGCTGGGGTTGATTGGCAAAGCGAAGGCAGGCCCGAACAGTCTAAAACCATCTGCAGCCAGTCTCCTGCTGTTGTTTATTTCCCTGTTCCAGAAACTCCCTTCCCAGCTCCCTTCTCTCTCCTTTTGTTTTAGAGTAACTTTTGGATGGGTGGTTAGTGGTCAGTGATTATGTTGGGGAAGGAATGGAAAAATATGTATGAGAAGATGGTAGGTGTAATAAAATAATTTTTAACACATTTCCCATTTATAAATATAATCTAACCATATTACTGAAATTTTGATTTTATAAAAATGAAGAAACTATCTTATGTCTAACACCCTGATATCACTGTTACTAGCATTATAATGCATTATCTTCCAATTTGTCCACCATGACTACTCATCTATGAAATAAACTTGTATGATATGGTAATTGTACTATACATTCTGTCTTCTATCTTGCTTTTTCTACTTAACATATTATTCTACACGTTGAAAATGAGTGAATAGATTTAATCCTGACTGGTCTTCTTGGAAGCCCTAAGCAGGCCTTGGGCTTCTCTCAATGCTTTAGTTATCCAATGAGATGTGAAATTTATCAACCCACTTCACAGATGTAATTTGAAAAACTACTTAGAGAAACCAGAAAACTAGAAAAAACTTAAAGAAGTTTTTTATTATTCTGTGGTAGGCAGAATAATGCCCCCCAATGATGTCTACGTCCTAATCCCTGGAACCTTTGAATTCGTTAGGTTAAATGGCAAAGGGGAATTAAGGTTGCTAATCAGATGGCTTTAAAACGGAGATTTTCCTGGATTATCTGGGCAGGCCCAGTATAATCACAAGGACCCTTATAAATGACTCAAAAGGGAGAGCCAGAGAGATGGCAGCGCAAGGACTCAGCCCAAAGTTGCTGACTTTGAAGATGGAGGAAGAGGTCACAAGCCAAGGAATGCAGGTGGCCTCCAGAGCTGGAAAAAGCAAAGGAACAGATTCTCCCCTAGTGCCTCCAGAAAAAACACAGCCCTGTCAACACCTTGATTTCAGCTCAGTGAGACCCATTTCAAGCTCTGACCTCCAGAACTATAAAATAACAAATTTGTATTGTTCAAAGCCACTAAGTGTGTGGTAATTTGTTGTACAAACAACAGGAAACTAATACAGAGGCCAAGATTACCTTTCAAAGTCTAAGCAAAGATGATACCCCAAATTCCAGGACAAAAGAGTCTAACTCTTTTAAGCAGTTCCCTGCACCATTGAGCAAACTACCCAGTAAAGGTCCAGAACCAAGCTGGTGCTTCAGAAATACTCATTTATAAGAAAAATAAGAGGCTCTTGTCCAGATCAAATAGTGCATCATGCTATCTTCACCGAGGCCAGAGCATCTTAGAGGAGATCTAGTCTTGCTGCATTCACAGAAAAGTCATTTGAAGCAAAGATTGACAGGGAGGAAATACAGTTCCAGTTTGCCCAAAAAGGGTCTTGGATCTAATAGCACCATTATTCCAGGGCTTAACACAGTGCCTGGCACATAGGAGGTGCTCAACAAATAGTCATTGCATGACCAAAGGGAAAAATGGAGTGAGTGACTTAAGTCATTTTGCTTCCACTGCTCTCCCTACAATTCTTTCTTTCTTATCCTCTGGAAAAAGCCTCAAAATTTATGTTGGGCTGAATTTTTCAGGCTCTTTTTGCACTTGAAGTACCTGCCACATAAACTATCCAGACATCAAGGACCAGTTGACACTCTGTGTTTGGATTCCAAGCATTCATTTAATTTAGAAATTCCTACAGTGTAAAGCCAATTGAATAAGCCATGCTCTCTTTCATGTGTTACTCAATTTATTTATGAATCATCAATCTGTCTTATTCATCCCTTTTTTCTCCAGTGCTTGGCACAGTGTTTGGTGTAATGTAGGTCTTTGATGAATGAATGAATGAATGAATGAATGAATGAATGAATGAATGAATGAATGAATGAATGAATGGAGTGTCCTGGATACCTGTTTCTCTCTCCCCAGCAGAGGTATTCCCTCATCTTATGGACTTGGCTTCCCAGGCCTCTCTATCTGAAGAGTCTCTCTGGTGGCCCTGAATCCTCAGCTACAGATGTGGGCTGACCTTCTGTGGCATTTCCATGTCCTAAACACATCAGAATGGGAGCAAACCACAGCTTTGCTCAGCAGAACAAAGACCCAAACCTTCTCTCCCCCATCCAGCAGGTTTTATATTTTCATCATATTTTTCTTTTCTTTTTTTTAAACCATAAACCTTCCTTGGTAAATTCTGGCAGGATATGGCAAGGAAACTCAGGCCAGTGGCTTATTGACCTATCCTGAGTAATGATTATCTGGTGGGTGGTGAGGCATTGACCAGAAAGCAGCATGAGAAAACTTCCTGGGATGATGAAACTGTTCTGTATTTTGTTTTGTGTGCTGGTTACAAAGGTGTATACAATCATAAGACTTTATTAAACTGAACAATTAAGCTCTGTGCATGTTATTATGTATAAATTATGCCTCAATTTTTGAAAAAAATTAAAAGAGAAGGATTCTGAGATCACAATCAGTTCATCAGTCAAGAATGCCATAATTAATCGGCGATGTCTGCCATGGACAAAGGGGGTGGGAGAGATGTCAACACAACTATCACATGTTTGCTATTCTTGTGCTTAACTGATCATCCTTAGAGAGTTTCTGCATCATTTAAGTGGTTATAATATTAACTCATCCACCTTAAAGGATTATAATGAGGTGAAAGTTCTTGTACTATATAAATCCCTAGCCAAGTATAAGATGTTACTATTCACATTTGCTCCCCATGATGTCTTGCACGGTGGGACTGAATTTGGCAGAAAATTCTCCCTGGCTGAAATGAAAGTCAGCAGAGCCAGATATTTTTTAAATGCCAGGCTCCCTATGAACATGGATGTAGTTTGTCTGTCCCATTATTCATCTTACAAACATTAAATGACGATTCTGATTTGTCAAGCTGTCTTTCCCATTGCCACACAGGGCCACTAAAGTGATTTCCACAGGCTGAACTAAGTAATGTGTTTTCTTTTGAGGCTCTTTATCCCTTTCTGATGCTCAAGCTCAAAATGGGGTCTGGTATTTCTCATTTTTCCTTCTCCTTCCAACTGCAAACCTGTAGGGGCCTTTTACAGCTTTTCTCTGTGGGCTCTTGGTTTATGTCTGTTGGCTGAGGCATCTGTTTCTGGTGCCTTCTGGCACCTTCCAGGAGTCTCCTGGATTACTGATGAGGATTGTGCTAACCAGCCTGTATCAGTGGGAGGCTCAGGGCTCAGCCATGCTGTTTCCTGACTGGTGTCCCCACAAAGGGAACAGGATAAAGCCTGGCAATTGTACCTCTGCTTTTGAAGCCAACCAGAGATCCACGCCCTCCGAGGTCTCTTGTAGACATGGCCCCCTGACACCATGTACAGGCTCCAAGGTGCAGGCCAGTGGGGTAATGGGAGGAGGTGCACACATTCTGGTATGAGAGTGTATTTTTCATCAAGGCTTAAAACACCAGAATTTCAGGCCCAATGTTGTGTACAAGCAAGCCTCATACCTTTCACCCTTTGTTCTTACCCACACTTGCAAAGGAACATAAATGTGGGGAGGAAGAGAAGCCTTGCCTTCACTGTAGCTCCTCTTAGCAGCCTTGTACTCCACTTCCCCAGCAGAACTCTCTTCCCAACCTTCCCCACTCAGAGACTTCAGATCCCTCAGTTCAATCCCTGTCTTTTACAAGGTAAGGAAAAAGAGGCCCAGAGGGAAAAGTAATTTGTCCAAGGTTAGTTAGCCAAAAGCAGAGCTGGGACCAGAAGCCAGATACTCCCCAAACCCCTGGCTCCATATTCTTCCCAACAGTCCTTAGTTCCCCTTCCAAGGTGATCTTAGCTCCTCCAGAAAGTGGAAATGTTAGGCCTCTTCCTCTTAAACAGGGCGGCTCTCCAGCACAATCCACTTAGGAGTGAGATGGACACCATTCTGCTGAACAGAGATCCCAAAAGCACTCTGCAAATAAAGGCTTAAAAATGAAAACAGGAAATGGTTGGGGATTAGAAAGAGTTGTCAGATGTAGTGCATACACACACAGAGAGACAGAGAGAGAGAGTTAAACTTGCAATATTTGGTACATATTTCTACTAAAAAGTATTCATTGTTTATTTGAAATTCAATTTTAACTGGACATCTCACATTTTATTTGGCAAATCTATTGGGATAAGAGGGGTGTACTGTAGGATCTGCCAGTGTCCACTTGGCGATTTGCCGTTTATTCAGCACCAAGAAACAGACAGGACTAGAGGAAAACTGGCTTTCTTCCTGCTTGATAGGTTTGCCTCAGAAAAGGAGAGAAAAGTCTCTCCCCAATAAGTGATGACTTGAAAAAAAGTGAGAGATGTAGGCTTGACTAGTAACTGGTTTTATTTTCATGGCAGGCCCACAGTTACCATTTATTTAACACTAGTTAGAAAGAGCCTCTTAGCCAAAGATGTGTTTATCATTGGGTGGAGCAGAGAGCAGAGCAGGGCACTGCTCCATAGCCTGGGTCCAACATCTTCAAGGATTAGAGACCCTCTTCACATCAAAAACATATCTCACACCCCCCTCTATGGAAGTCATATGGCTACAATGTGCAGTTTAAGAAAAAATCCATCTTAGGCCCTTTGCTGTAATTCCTCACCAAAGGCCCTCTGGAGGGGGAAACCCACAAGCTGGAAGGAATGGCAGTACTGTGGTATGAGATCACTGCCCAAATAGCCTGTGCCACCCCCAACCTTCACTTCCTGTGTGGTGCTGGTCTTGTCACCCCTACGATAAATACTCCCCACCCTTCAGGCCCACATCTTCTAAAAAGGCATCTCTGACAACTTCAGCCAATATTGAGCTCCTCATTTTCTGACCTCACATCACACTGACAGTTGAGGCCACACAGTTGAGCACCAGAGAGTTTAGTCCCTTCAACAATTAGTGTCTTTAAAAATGAGCCATGGCTCTTCTGTATCTACCCCACTGCCTAGCAAAGGGGTGGGGCCATTGGTAAGCCCTCAATAAATACTTGTAGAATGACTGGATTGAGAATCATGGGGCCTCCAGAAGCAAGCAGGATACACCTAGGAGAAACCTTTGGATTTTCCTCCTGAGGCAGGAGGAGCCTTTTACCCAGCCCCAAAGAAACAACCATGTTTCTTCCACCAGGGAGACCCAGTTCTTAGAAGTGAAAGAATCATACATGTGGCACAGGACCAGAAGCTCCCAACACACTGAATAGAGGACTCTCTCTGTGTTCTGTCTGATTTTTTTAATCCCTCACATCTCCTAATTGTCTTCCTTAATGGGCAATGTCCAAAGCTAAGACTAGTGTTCTTATCCATAAGACCTCTAAACGGTTGACCATTATTTCTACCCATAACTCCAGACCTACACTTCGGGATACATCAAGCATTCTGTGCTGCTCCAAGAAAGTCACCTTAAAGTACCAAAGAATCTGAGACCACAACAGGATTTTTCAGGGGTACCCCCAAAATGCCATCTCCTGCCTGTCTTCCCTCCACTTTGGATTCAATAAGCAAAATTTTTTGAACCAGGTACATGTTGATTTTATATCCAGATCTCAAATATCTGGATTTTAACACCTTAAAGTGGAGTTTCCCAAAATTAAGGTCTAGAAATTCTGGGTTTCATTGTCCTCATCTTTAAAATGGGGGTGTTAATCTAGACCAGCATTGTCAGGCAGCACTTTCTGCAATGATAGAATGTTCTATATGTGTTGTCCAAAATAGTAGCCATTGGCTGCATGTGGCTACTGAGCACTTGAAAAGTAGGTAGTGCAACTGTGAAACTGAGTTTTTAAATTTTATTTACTTTTAACTAATTTACATCTAAATAGCCACATGTAGCTAATGGCTACTGTATTGGACAGTGTAGGTCTAGATTCCAGATTTTAGACGATTTCTTAAGTCTGTTCCACTCTAACACTCTTTAACCCAATGGTTTTGTGCAATATCATAAGAAAAAGCATAGGCTTTGGAGCCAGAAATCTCTGTTGCAATGGCTGTTATCTCTCTTACTAGATATGTATCTTGAGCAAGTCACTTAACCTCTTTGAGCTTGTGTTTGCTCATCTCTGTAATGAACATAATAAGACTCACCTCATTACTGCACTGAAAATTATTGTGAACTGTCTGTAAGCTATTCAGTACTATGGGGATTCTACTTGCCAACATTATTCTTGAGAACCTGAAGCACTAAAAGAGCCAGAAGTTGCCTTCTCTAGGGTAGATGGGGAAAGATAACTGGGTAGCACTAATGGACAAAGAATAGGGCTTTGGCTAGTACCAGAGTTTTCGAGAAAAGAAAAGGAAAGAACAAAAGCCTAATATAAAGTTAACTTTTCTGAAATTAAAAAGAAAATTTCCAGAAACAATGGTATTGCCTAACCAAGCCCTGTCCTTGGAAAAGGACCTGGTCAGGATAAGTAGAGAATCTAGTCTATTAAATGAGTGGAGAAAAGTGGTAGGTTCTCAGAGCCTGGTGCCATTAAATATTCCTGCTATACACCTCCCTTGAGTCTTGACTACAGCACCAGGGAATTCAGTCATAACCTGATCCCCATGTAATTCATCTACAGGAAAGATGCTGGTCAGGCAATTGTATTTCTCTTTGTAAACTAATACCCTAGTCTATATGCCAGTATCTGTGCACGTTGTTAGTATGGGTTGACATCCCTGAGACCAGCTGATTCGGGGGCACTGAAGAGGTCAAGTTTCTGAGCCATCCATGTCTTGGGATTGATGAACTCACCCAGATAATGCTCCTGTGTTGGAACCCTCTGCCCTTCCCCAGATGGCACCCCACCTTGCCATTGCCTTAAGCCCTCTTTCTTCAAGTACCCTACTGTCTTCAGTTAATATTCTTAGACTTTGATGCCCTTGGATAGAAAAACACTGGCCAGTGGACTGCAGTATTTCCATTTTGGGGGTGGATCACCATTGTACACCTAAGAGATCAAGTGACTTCCCTAATTGATGCCATATACCAAGGAGCTGTAGCAATCCGGCAAAACCTAGAGCAATATAGAATAAGCGATTAAATATGTGCCATTAGCACCTGCTTCCAAGCCCTGTTACCTCTCTGGGCCTCAGTTTTCCTCATTTACAAACTGGAGATGACCATGCCTACCTTTACCTCCCAGGATTAGATGTGGGAGTTAAAGGGGATAAAGTAGTATCTGCCACATAGTAAGTGCTCAAGAAATGTTAGTTATAGACCTCCCTCGCTTGTTATTTTTTAAAGCATAATTGCTAATTAATTGCAATACCCAATTGCGCATGATCACAGGACCAAAAGTCAGTTTGTTAAGAAATAAGAACAGATCTAAGTCTGTAACTTGAACCCTAACTGATGGTTTTATTGGTTTTAACTTCACCTCCCTTCGACCCCCCTCTCTTTGCCAGACACTCACTCTCTTTGGAAAAGTAGCAAAAGTCCTGGCTACAAATCCCAGATCCTCCAACAATGTGATGTTGGCTAAGTCTTTTATGCTCCCTGAATCCTTAGTTTGCTCATCTGCAGAATGTTAGTAACGGTATCTGCACTCCACCTTCTCTGAGTTATTGTGAGAAATCACAGGAGAGGACAGAGGTTAAAAAAAAAAAAAAAAAAAAAAAGCTATCTAAGAGCTCTACATTGCTACCACAGTTCACATTATTCAGGTAATCTGAATCCATATTTGAAATATAGAGAGACCAAGTTTTGTAGTCTCCTTTCAACAACTGAAACTTCTAATACTTCGCTTGCAAACCTGTTTCTATTAAGCATAAACAAATGAGCCAAGCTGATGTTTACTGAGAAGAATCTTGATTTCCCTGGAATAGATTGAGTCATATAATCAAAATCACCTGGGATACAGCCAAAGGGAAGAATGCCTCTCTATATCCCCTGACCCACAATGCCCCCTCCCCTAACTTAAACAGTCTGCCATGGGGTTGGGCCAATGGCCAGAGTTCTATACCCTCTACCCTCAGAAATTTGTTTCAGGTGATTTGGACCAGGAAGAATAGACGAAGTCTGGCTTAACCCCAAAGGATCATTGTAGAACACACAAAAAGGTCTTTAGTGCCACACCCTGTAAGGAGTCGAGGTCTTCTTAGGGACAGGCCTAATGTGGCCCTGGGCATCCTCAGATTGAGGGGTCCCCAGGGCTCCTCAGGCTTCCCTGGGCCACAAAAACCTGAGTGGACCCCTCTGAATCTGAGCCTGAGTCCTCATCTGTTCCACCAACACTCTCCGCATCACCTCGGCCCCCAAAGAGCCTTAGGAGCCAATGAGCACAAGGAGGAGAGCTGGAGGGAGGGAGAAGCCCCCTAAGTGAACATTTGGCTCTGGACCCAAGGACAGCAGGGATGGGAATGACTTAGGGAATGACGAAGGCTGGGGAGGGTAAAGGGAAGGTGAGGCTGGCTGGGAGCCTCTAGAGGTCCCGCGCTCCAACATACACAGAGACCCGAAGGCTTCCAGAGCCCTTGGTTGAAAGACAACCCCACATTGTTCCGCCGAGTTGCACGCTGAGAATGGAGGTGTTGCTAAAGCAGCTCCATACAAAGACGGTTTGCCAGACTGTTTCGGCAATAAATCTACTTTGAGTAAGTGATGAAAATAGCTGCAGGACCCTTTAAACCATCGATGAAAGATTCGTTAACTATGCAGGAGTCATCTGTTGACTCAGATTCTTCCCGAGGGTCGGACAAGGTAAGTTCAGAGAGCCAAGCAGCCATCCCACCACAGTGCTCTTGGCAGAGGTTCCTTTGCAAGTAAACAACCAGCAGCCAGCCAGGAAATCAAGGGCTTTGGACCCAGTGTCTCAGGGGCAACAAAGCAGGACTGCAGGTCACCCTGCCGTAATCACCACTGTTACCCGCCCGTCCCTCATGGTTTACAAAGGGCTGCCACATTCATTATCTGATTGAGCTCGTACAACTCTGCAAAGAGGTGAGGGCAAGAAATCAGTATCCCCATTTTACAGATGAGGAAACTGAATCCCATAAAGGAAGACTCAACCCCGAGCCTCTAGGAAGGGCAGTTCTGTTCCTCCAACCTGGCTGCCACATCCATGGAGGCACCAACAGAAACACAGAAAGAAGGAGGGAGGGGGAACAAGGGGCTTGATCAACACTTGTGCTCAGAAAAGCAAGAAGAGAGGCAGCTGTAAGACCTTGTCCATCTCCAGAGTTACAAAACTGACCCACTGTTCACCTTTGCAGGTCAGTAGGGGCTGGATGAATGGGGAGCTGGGGCTGGTGGACGCTGGACCAGGGCTCTGCAGCCAAGAACCATGGCAATCAGGGGACTCACTTGCAGCAACTCAGGAAGCAGCCCTGGCAGGAAGATGAAACCCAGGCAGAGCTACCATTTCTAATGGGCTTCCCTCTGTCATTGTTCTTCTTGACTTCAGGGGGATGCCCCGTCCCTTCACCATTTCTTGGGGTCCTCCAGAGAAGAATAGAGTACTTTGAGTCTACTGACTGATGTTGCCCAAAGTTTCACCTGTGGAACCCTAGCATTGCCAGATACTCCATGAAAAATGAAAAGGGCTTCATGGCCAAATACATTTGAGAAATGCCGCACACCATCTCCTCATGGAGAGTCACATTGCACTTGAATAGGTGCCATTTTCGAGAAGTTCCATAGGTAAAGTAGCCAGTTTAACTTCAACTCATGGGTTTCCAAATTTATTTAATCACAAATCTTCCCTAGAGTCTCCCCCCATCTAGGCAGCTGTAGTCTCTAGAAAAAAGAGCTCTTGGCCTTAGAATTGGAAAAGTCTTGGTTTGAGTCCTGTATCTTACTAGTTGTGGTGAGTCTGTCCAGGAAATTTAATTAACTTTGAGCCTGAATTACCTGTTCCGGAAAATGGAGCTGTCATCACACATATCTCACAAGGTTACTATGAGAATTAAATGAGTTAAAATGTAAAAATGCTTTCTAAACTCTAAAGCCTGTGTGTGTGTGTGTGTGTGTGTGTGTGTGTGTGTGTGTGTGTGTGTGTACAAGATGACAGGGGTTCAGAGCAACATAGACAGCACTTGCTCCTATCTTGAATAAATTTGACTTATAAGGTCATATGCCAATGAGAACAGGGAAGGGGGAAAAGTACCACATAGTGGAATAGGAGAAGGAAGATATATTTTATGGTCGATAAAGTCAATGATACTAGCATTTCAGTTTTTTAAATTTTTTATTTTTTTCTTTGCACTGTAGGCATGCACAGCTGGTCTTGTAGCCCAGAATCAGGATGAGGGAGTGGTGGGTGCAGGTGGGGTTAGTCCCCCACTTGTAGCCTATCTGCACATCCTGCCCCCACCCCACCCCAAGCTTTCCCCTGGTTTTCACTCATAGAAGTCATCAGGCAAATTTTTTACCTGTAAGGGACTATGCATCTTCAACCAAGACTCTGAGGTTTAGTTGGAAGCCCAGAGGTAGTTGTGCTTTTACATGGCTTTCCAACATGCTATCACCCATCCTCACATGATTGATGAGCTTCTTTGTGTTCTCTGGAGGTCTGACCCTAGTCTTTGGGCCATATGCCCGACCCTCTGAGAGTGAGCTATCTATGGGGACATGTGGGCAGGGATATGCAACAACAGTGGGAACTTAGTTATCAACAGTCTCTTACAGTACATCAACCAGTGGAAGAGTTTAGAAGATGATGAGTGGGAGCTCTTGCCTCTGTAACTATTTCCATTCATTTCATCTGTGGGTCTTTGGATCCAGTGAACCCCTACCTGGAGTTTTTGGAGCTATACAGGAAAATGCTGCCGTGGTTCAGTGTATATTCTGGATGACCACATTAGCCACTACTCACAGCTAGAGGATAACATGGGCTTCTTGAATGCATACATGGGGGCTTCATCAACTCCTCTGTGCTGCAAATTACCTCCTATATTACCTCCCCTACCCCCTTATCTATTGTGTATTCCATCTGAGAAGAAATGCTCCAAAGAGGTCCTGGCCACCAAATATGATTCTCTCACAAAAGTCCACCTGACTCATATTGGTGAACAGCAGAAGCTCCAACTAAGGGTGACCTAATAGTCCACCTCCCATTCATTTGACATCTGATCAAAAAGACTTACCTTTGTCTTCGTGTTATTAGGAAATTCTGATGAACACTATTACTCATTGATTCAGAAAGACAGACATTCTTTTGCATAAAAGTAAAAAAAAAAAAAAAAAAAGCTCTATATGTCAGGCATGATTAAATGTCATTCTTTCTCTCATCAATAATAAAATATTTTATTGTAATAAACAGAATTAGAGATCTTACTATCATAGCCATGTTTTTCTTCCCAAGCTACAAGGGAGACTTCATCCTTGGAACCACAAGTCTAGCTACAAAGTCTGTCCTGCTCTGCTCCTTTATAAAGCCTATTGACAGAAATATGTACCTGTCATTCCCTAGGACACATCAATAGAGAACCACCATCGTACGCACGCTTCAAAGGAAAACCACAATGAAAAAACACAGCAAACCTCTAGGAGGGCCTTTGGGCATGCCCACATTAATCATCCTGGGCTCCTGAGTGACAAATCCCACATTACATTCTACAGCGACGCCTTCCCCAATAGGAAAGCAGATCTCAGCGGTAAGAAGCCAAAAGTCTTGCTTGTTAATCTGGGTAAACCTAATCATGCAGAGTTTGTTTGAGAACACTGAGGCAGGCTGAGTGTCACTTCCTTATGCCACTCACCTTAGAAAAGAACAGCCAAAGTTCAGTTGGAGGTGGGAATGAGACTCACAGGCTCTTCCTTGCCTAGTACTCAACTGCACACATCCTGCAATCAGACTACCTGGGTTCAAATTACTCCCCCCCCTTTTCTAGCTGTGATCTTGAGCATGTTATTTAATTGTGCTGAGGCTCAGTTTCCTCACCTATAGAATGGGAATAATGATAATACCTCCATAAATCTACTGTAGGGATTGAGTTAATGCATGTCAAATACTTTGAGCAATTCTTGTCCCATATTTAACACTCAATATATATCAACTATCATTATTATTATTGTTAGCAGTCTCCCCATCACCTCACTCAGTCAGCAAGAACCCAACCAGATAACGAGATTAGAGCTCCTCGAACCTGCCCCACCCGAAGCCATGGCTGTCTCAGTGTGCCAGCGCTCTTTTTTTTTTGCCTCTCTTCCCGTTAACCCCAAAATTATAAAAGTTGAAAGTCAACCATCCTTCCGCATACCTGCAACTAATAAGTTCTCATTCCTACCCTGTTTCTACAGACAAACAAGGGAATATGAAACTCCACAAGGGCAAAAGCAGCCACTCATTACAGGAGTCTCCTGCTGGAAGATGCCTCTTCCCTCCTGTGGCATCTGCCACTGACCCACCTGGGGAAGTAAAGAAGAAAAAGGTGTGTGTGTGTGTGTGTGTGTATGGGTGTACTTAAAAGATTAATCTCAATTTAGAAACACAGTGACTCAAAAGGACGTCTCAGAGAGAGAACTGCCCTTACGTCTGAGCTCGCCATGCGGAGCTGGAATAAAGCTGCAGTAATTTACTAAATATTGAAAATAGTGAAGTCTGAGGAATTTCAGCTGCCCCCAATTCTACCTTAAAGCATATGATGTTACTGCATGCTCTAGTGGCAACAGAATCCTTTGTTCTGTTAAGGGGTTGGAGGTTATCTATAAACAAGTAAGAACAAAATTTGAGTTTGTAAGCAACTGATCCACTTCAAACTGAAAATGCTGGAGATCTCAGATCCAGCAATGGTTTTGCTTAATTGAGAGTCTGTCACCTTTGAAAATGTAGGGTACATTTTGCAGATTTATCAACCCCTTCAGGAGTCAAGTACGCTTTCTTCCTTAGTGATGTCTTTAGCTGTCTCTGGCCTGACCCTGCCTTGCAATTCCATGTGGGTCTTTGGTAGTTTGAAGGCACCTGTACTGAGTGGGAACCAGCAGCGGCTCCAGAATGCTCTGCCCCAAAGCAGCTGTGTGAACATAAGCAAGTCGCTCATCCCTTTAAGCTTCAGTGACCTCGTCTGTGTGATAGATAATAACACCAACCTCACAGGGCTAATGCAAGGAAGAAAGAACATGATGTGCTTTGGTGAAAGTATCTTGTGTCCGACTGGGAATTACAGCGTTGTTAGTTAATCGTGGGGAGCCGTGTCATCTGAAGTGACCCTGGAGGAGCCATGAGCACTCCAGGTGGTTTTGGTGCCAATGAGGGAGGCTGTTTTCAGTGTGTTCAGGGTTTTCTCAGATTTTCTGTGTCTGCTGATCTTAACCTTTCCAACCACCCCAGAAGGGCATGTGTCTTCCCAGGATCCTCTGGACCAGGAGTAAACAGCAGGCGTGACCTGCAAGAGGCCCTGCAGGCCTAAGGAAAGCCCCCAATCTCACACCCTGGGGTCAGCCCAGAACTGAACCAGGCTCAGAGGACAGGAGTTCCTTCCCTCAACCCAGGTATAGGGTTTAGAGAGGAAAGCAATATTTTCCACTATATTAAAACTCTGTAAAATTTTAATTAGAATAAAGAAATTAATGCTTGGCTTGTCAAGCCAAATCATTTGGGTTTCCACATAGATTTCTCAATGCAAACCTTGTCACACAGAATGCACAAGGTCAGTATTCAGAAAAGGGCAGTTGGTGGGCAGCTGGCACCTGGGCAGTGAAGGTCTCCAGGAACATAAAGATCTTATGTGCATGCACAAAAGAAAAGTTCTCTTCTGACATGTATCATGGCAGTCTGAACGCCCCCAGAAAACTGTGCCAAAGAGTTTAGAAAACAAATATACAATAAAATAAACACACACATACACACATACAAACTTCAGGTAACTACTTTGGATTGCAAACAAGGATAAATTTAATGTTCAAACAATCTGATAAAATAACCATTTGGTGGGGGGAAAGATCCTATGTGCATGCATTTGGTTAATCATTTTCTTACTGTCTCAAAATTATAAATATTACTCTGCATATATGTGGTTGAATTTCCTTCATCATTCAACTCTAAACACGTAGGAAGCCTATGTGTGTTTCTGATTATTTTTCTCTTTTTGAGCATTAAAAAAGTGAGAAACGTTTTTATTTTTCCTCCTGTGAAATTGAACTCCCTAAAACCCAGCACACATATATACTTCATAGAGCCAAGTTCATATGTTAAAAGCTGCAAACTAAAAGGAGAAATTTTCAGCAACTTCTGAATAATTGGAAACAGGAGGCTCTAAGTACCACTCCTGGTGTCTCTGTCTCTTTCTCTGTATACACACACACACCACATTTTGGACACAAAAACTGGGCTAAAGTTCTGGCTGATTCTGACACATGGTGATTCTTTTCAGCTATGCTCATATTACAGAAGTGTGGAGATACATAGGTATTCTGCTAGTGGTGAGACTGGGTATTAAACCCTAAAGAGAGAAGAGTCTTCTCTCAAAGAAATATCATAGAAATAAACCTAGTTACGAACACTATTGTAACTACATATCATTAGCTCATTTAACCCTCATGGCAATCTTTTGAGGTAGGTGGTATGATTACTCCCATTTTACAGAGGAAGAAATTGAGGTTTACAGAGGTTGCATAAGTTAAGCAGACACAATATGTATTCCTCTTTTCTGCTCTTTCTTACCTAAACAGTTGCATAGTCAATGCTCTGTACCTTGATTTTCTCCCATAACAACATTATGCTGAGATTTCTCCCTCTCCATACATAGAAATAGCAGCTATATCATTTCATTCTGGTTCAGTTTCCCTAGCTGCAAGAGAAAGAAAGACTGTATTACCTCTCAAAGGCTGTTAAATTGATCACGTGTATACTTCTCAGAAGAACCAGAGGCTGGGTTAAAAGGGCAGAGCCGAGTTCCCACTCTGGTCAGATACCCGGGTCCCAGGTTGGTTAGCTTTACTTCTCAGCTATGGGTACTGAAGCCTCACCCAGCATCTCTTGGTGCTAGAGAAACAATAAGATACAACGCCATTTGTCCTCTGCAGGCAGCAGGGTTTGAATACCTGCCATCTTGGTTTTGTTTTGTTTTTAAATTTTCTTCAGGATTCAAAGGCGTTGAAATTACCTCCTATTTCTGAAGAACCACCCAGAGTCCTGAACCCCCTGAGGAGTCCATTTAAAGCCAGTGAGCCCCCAGAGGAGCTCCTCATCTTCCCAGTGGAGATTCATTTCCACACCCAACACCACTCAAAAGAGAAAGTACACAGAAGAGGTAGGTCCTCTGTGGATGGGTGCTCCTGAGGGAACTCAGGGAGACCAGGAAGGGCTGGGGTGTGGGTCCTGCTAATGCAACCCTCTCCTAAATCATGGCTAACCCTACCTGGGTCATCCCCTTCAGAGAACCTTTTTTAAAAAGAGGGGGAAAAGGTAGAATCTAGTAATAAGTCCCTTCTGATCATAGTCAACTCAATTTTTTAAATATTTACTGAGCCCATCATTAAGCAGTGCAATTTGCTAAACTGTGGAAGAGAAAGGAAGATGCACACAGATAAATAAGTCCGATGCACCACAGGTGTTATAAAGGTACAAGAATTTTCAGGCAGCTTACAAAAAATAAATACAATATCAACTAAAATTGAAAGTTTAAAAAAAGAAACTAGTTAAAAGAAGTAGAGAAATCGATGTTACCAGACATCTGGGATGAATTTTTTACATTAAGTAAGCACTGAATTTAGTTGAGTTTCCTGGCAGCCAAGGTAAAAAGGATATATTTGCATATATGGATCTTCATTTTATAAATGAAAGATAAAGGTTTGTCTGAAGAACTATTTTCCTGATTTTGAATTAGGTCATTATGTAAACATTAGATGATCTCTAAGATCCTTGCCAGAGCACAGATTCTTCGCTTGTAAGCTAAAAGAATATGAGTAAGCGAGAGATCGATTCCAACTGGTAACTTGGGAACCCTATATGGAGCAGACTTCTGAGCGACTACTAACCCTGCGCCCCAAGGAGAAATTCTTTCTGACCTTCCCAAGTCATTCTGCGGCACCCTCGCCTAAGACACAGTCTTGTCTGGGCAGCCTGAAACCAAATGTGACTCCCTAAACAGCCGACTTCAGTTTTGACGGGGCCCTAGTTCTGAGCTTTCTCAGCAGAAACTGCCACTGATTTCTCAGAAAGTTTTGTTCTAAGGCTGTTTGGAGTTCTCACTATGAAGAATGCCTAACTGTTGAGCTTAAAAGACCAGTCAATGGAAGGATACATAAGGGAACTTTCTGAGGGGATGAAAATGTTCTAAATCGTGGTGGTTGTGTGGGTATATACATTTTTCAGCACTCATCAAATAGTACACTTAAGATCTGTGCATTTCACTATAGAGTTTATACTTCAAAAAATTATCTCCTTAAAAAGAAAACCCACACACAGTATTTTAGATGTAGGTTCTGTTATTATTCAGGTGTGGTGAGGCCAACAGATCAGGAGACAACTGCCATTGAAAGGGTAGTTTCCTCACAGTCCCTGAAAGGAGAGGGTATGCCATGCCATGCAGGGCCACATGGGGAAGCATCAGGGTCAGTTAGGAGGCAGAAAGGCTGGGGAAGTAGGATTGAGTAGGAGACTTTATCGTGGTTTTTGCAGGAAGGAATGGGTGAGGCAGGGTAAGCAGGCAAAGTAGGTTTGGGATTGGCTAGTTTGAATAGTTTTGGTGGGTTCTGGGCATAGGGGCCATCCTTCATTGTCTGGTATCTGGCCCTGGTGTGGTTAGGGCAGGTAGATAGTGGCCTGGGTGTAAGAGCTCCAGAAGGAAGGTAATTTTGGGTTAGGGGATCTGGATTGTTTGGTTTGCATATAAAAGGCATGCTCCCTGGTCCTTTATTATCTCAAGGAATTGGCTTGCCTTGGGAGGGACAGCCACACGAGTAAGATCCCAGATGTCAAAACATCAGAATAAAAAGACATGCTTAATATACATAAAAATAGACTATTAGTGGGATTGGGTTAAATCCTGATTACTTACCATGATAATCCTGGCAAGCAGACCACTAGGCCATCATGAACCAGACTCTTAAAACTATTAGATACACTGAGCTTGCCAACACATGGCCAAGTGAAAAATAGGAATAAAGTGCAGAGAAAGTGAATCCACTGAGTTCTTACTGCTTTTGTATGTCAGTGAGAACTCCTTCAGCAAAAAGTTTCAGAAACGTAACTTAAACTATCTTAAGCAAAAAAGAAATGTATTAGCTCATGGAATTGGGTAGTGCCAGGATGATCAGAGTCCAGGCTCAGTTGGATCCAGGCCTCAGAAATTGTCATCTGGGCACTATTCATCTCTCTCTGCTCTGTTAGCCTTTCATCTCAAGCAGGCTGTCCCATGTGGTGGTAAAGATGGCCTCCTGCAATGCCATGCCAGCCTCCTACCTGTTAACCCCAGTCAAAAGGCTATGCCTCTAAAAGCTCTTGCAAAAGTACTAGAATTGCCTCTGATTGAGTTACGTGCCCACCCTGGGTCCAATCACTATGGCTAAGGCTATAAAGTGCTCTCCTTAACTCGGCTTCAGCCCCATGCCCATCCATGGAGTCAGGAAATGGACACAGTTCCACCCAAACCACATGGTGCAAGCAGGGAAGAGATGGGTCCCTCCAAAAAGAGGCAGCTGGCAAAAACCACAGACATTTACCACAACTTGGCTTTCTACTTGGCTCCCAGGTGCTACAAATGCTGAGTCGGGACCAGAAATAGAAGAGGCCAGTCCTTTATGGAGGCCTCCCGTGAAGCCTGAGTCCTTAGAAAGGCTGAGGGAGTTAGCAGTGCATGTCCCAGTGGATACGGGCAGGGACACACTCTCACTTCAAGGTAGCTACTCTCACTCTCCAGCATCCCACAGGAATCTCACTCCAAAGGGAAGCAAGGCAAGATGCACAGGGTCCTCAGCCATGGAAAAGGAAGCTGGAAGGGAGGTGGCCACTTGAAGATGGCTTTTGTTCAGGCAGCAGGTGCCTTAATCAACAAGCTGCAGTAAAACCATCTTAGTGTCTAGCTCATAGATTACTCCTTAGATCATCCCCCTGCTATTTTCGGGTTGCAGATGTAAAATAGCACCAAACTGACTAAAAATTTGCGTCATGCTCTATAGTTTGTCTTGTGTTTTTAACCCATGAAATTTCATTTCTAATCTGTTTAGGAATATGTATTTACTCATTAAAAAGTCCATAACACCAATAATAAAAATTTTCACTCCAATCTTTCAATACACCATATGGACATTTGGAATTACACACACAGGTGTGTATTTGTATGTATTGGATAGGTTGAAAGTAACAGGCCATATTTAGAAAGCTCCCCATTTTCAGAAAACGGAACCACCTTTCCAAAGAGCAAATGCAAGATGACAGTATCACACATGTTAGGTGATCCGTAACCAGTGGCAATCAGTAGTAGAAGGCAGGCATTAATATTTAAGGATTTCTTCCTCTGTACTAGGCACCATCCTTAATTTTTAACACATAGTATCTCATTTTCTCCTTACAACAACCCTACCCTCACTCCACAGATTAGAAAACTGGAGCCCTGAGAGATAAGTCCTTTGTTCGAGGTCACAGAACTCTAAGTGGCCCGGCTGGGATTGCAGCTTCTGGTGCCAGAACCTGTGCTCTTCTTACCTGTTACACTCACGGCCTTTTAGAATAAACAAAACCGTGAACTCAGGTCAGGATGTTCTTGAGACATTTGGGTTTTGAGAATCTCCTTTAATTATGGGGGCAGGGGCTTGTTTACTCTGTTAAGTGAGAGTTAATCATCCTAAAGACTATAAAGTTTCCTTTACAAAAAAATCAAACATGGGCAAGGGTCACTGTCTGCAAACAGGTAAGAAAGGAGCTTTCCACCTGGGGGCTATGCCATCAGGTACACAGCCAGAGCCACTGAGATCCATGGCAGTGTCGATGAATTGTGTCTTGGGTATTACTCACCTCACACTGCCCTCCACTTTTGAGCTGCTGTGTCCACCAGGGACCGAGTATCTCGAACCTTTCCACCCTCTGCCACCCTTCCAGGGAGAAGCTAGCCTAAGAAGTCCCTGGTACCTTGTTTCGAGTTAGTTCAGTATACGACCCAACCTAGTAGTAAATGCATAAAGAAAGAGTCCAAGGAGGCAAGATTTTCATGGCAACCTTTCTCACACAGAGTCCCTAGACAAGGGTGCTTAGAGCTGGTGAGACTGGTAAGACGGTCCCGTTGCCTCAGAAGTTGCACATACCCATTTACTCACTTAGCCCTGGATTGTTTCACCTCTAATATCATAAAAAATAAAGCCAGGTTTTATTTATGCACAAACACACATGAATATTTTATTGTTGAACCATCTGAGAGTAAGTTGTAGACTTTGTACATTTTGTTCCTGATCAGCACATATCTCCTAAGAGCAAGGACATTCTCCCAGATAATCACAATGCAATGATCACAATAAAAAAAATTAACATGTAATATTATTTTCTAATACATAGTCCATATTCGAATTTCTCTAATTATACCAATAATGTTTCTTATAGTTTTTTTTCCTCCCCAGTCAATCCAGGATTCAACTCAGGGTCATGCATTGTATTTAGTTGTCACTTCTTTTTAGAATCTTTTTATCTAGAACACTGCCTTAGACTTGTTTTCCATGACAGTGACTTTTTTCCTGAAGTGATTTAAAACAAGACCCATTTACTGGCTCACAGTTCTACAGGTCAGAAGTCTGGGTATGGTATATTTGGGTTCTTTGCTCAAAGTCTCTTGAGGCCAAAATCAAGGTGTCCAGTTCTCATCCAGAGCTTGGGGTTTTCTTCCAAGCCCAGACACTTTCATTTTTGAAGAGGATAGGCTAGTTGTTTCACAGAACAGCCCTCAACTTAGATGTGTCTGTCTCCTTGTGATTAAATTCTGATCAAACATTTTTGGCAAGAATAGCAGGTGATGTTATGTCCTTCTCAGTGTTTCACACCAAGGGACACAAATATCCCTTTATATTTATTTCATTTGTTATATCTTGTTCCATTACAAGTGATGCTAAATTTTATTACTTGGTTAAAGGTGGCTAGATTTCTCCATTGTAAAGACACCTTTTTTCCCTTTGTAACAAACAAGTATCTTTGAGTCAGTGTAGGAAGCCAGCTTTTACACACAAACAGCAACAGTGTGTTGAACATGAAATAAGGACCACTCTCTCTGAATGAGATTAAGACAAGGTCTCAGTCACTTAGATTACCAGGTTTCACCTCCCTAGAGCAGTCCCTACTAGTTCTGAGCAAGAGTTAGAAAAAGGGAGAACAGAGGTGGAGTATTACCATAAATCCCATTACTCTCTAACTACCATCTGGAGGGTGCTACTTTGTACTCCATGACCTTGAGGAGCTGTGTGATCATTGGTTCTACTTAGAGAAATTGCTTTGTGGTTGGAACTCTGTAGCCAATGATCCCATGAGTTCTCAAGCTGGGGTTCCTCTAGTAAGAACCTTCTGACTCAGGGTTGGGAGGACTCTGTAGCCTCTCTGGTCTTTCTTCTGTATCAGGAGCCCATCAACAGAGTGAGAACAATAACCATCCCAGCTCAGTTCCTCCCAGTTCTTGGAGATTCCCCCAAATGAAGAAAGGGCACTGTTCTAGCCAAGAGGAATTTCACCTTGGCAAAGGGAGTCACCTAGCCTCTGCTCCTTAGCAGGGCTGGAAAGAGGGACAAACTCGAGAACAAGTGGAATAAGCCATCCTGCACACTAGGAGCCACTGACCAAGTTAGAAAAGAGGTTATTTCTCCTTCCTGCTGATTCAAACATTCTCTCATTCATGCATTTTCTCCTTTGCTTTTGAAGATGCTAATGCCCCACTACAGAATGTGACCCCGCCACTGTCCCTGATCAAAGGAAGAAAAAGCCAAAAGGGCCAGAGGGGCTGGGACAGCCTGAGGGCATCTGGCCACAGCAGCACTACAGGCCCCCAGAACATGAGATGGTCCAGGGGTGAACTCCCAGCAGAAGGACA